AATTCATTAAAAATAAGCCGGTCATTAAAGACCAGCAAAATATTCAAAGCCCCAGCCCCCTGGCCGGGTAAATACAAAGCAAACGGCACGCAGGCCGTGGAAAGAATACATAAAGCTTAAGAAGGGGGCAGTTTAGTATTAGCAGCTGCCGCCTGGTCAGCACTCTTCTTGCTTGACTCGGCTTCAGCTGCATCCTTTTTTGACGCCTTACCCCCAAGCGGCACAAGCGCCACTACCGGCTCCTCCTCCTCCAACGCTTCCTCCAACGCCTCTTCTTCAGCAGCCGCCAGGATCTCTTGATTATATGTATCCGAACACTGGCGGTACGTTCTTTCCCAAGAGGCAAAGTCGGCACTGGGGAAGAGGCGGCCCCAGGTCATGCGCTGGATTTGAGCGGAGTCTTCCATCATCTCCCGGACCAACTCTTTCTTCTTTTGCTCGGCCTTTTCCGAGAGCTCTTGGGAAAGACTCTTCTCCTGGGTCACCAGGCGTTCCTTTACGCTGGCCAAGGATTTCTCCATGGCTTCGTAAGAGTACATTTTCAGGCGAAGAGGTTTCAGCTCGGCCTTGAGATTTGTGATGGTCGCCTCCAGCTTGTCATTCTTCTTCTGGGCCGCCTCTAACTGAGCCCGAATAGCGGCGGTAGCCTGCGCCTGATAATAAAGAATATCAATGGTCAGAACTTCGTTTTGGGCAATTTGAAACATTGCCTTATCACAGTCAGAGGCGGCCATAGCTTTTGCAGCCTTTACCTCTTTGTTCTTCCGATCAAGCGGCTTGCGAAGGCCGTTAACTCGGAGCAGGGCCTAAGTACAAAAAAACAGGCGTCAGTTTCCAAACAAAAAATTAAAACAGGCGTCCAGAAATTCAAATACTCAAAAATATGCTAAGTATACCTCAGCAAGGACCCCTGCGATCCCGTCAAGGTCAAGGGTGCCGACACCCCTAACCGCCTCCCTTTCAGCTGGAGGAACTGCCCTGATCATAGACTTGGCCATCTCTACCAAGTCAGGCTCCTGGGGGCCGGATGCATCAAGCATAAACAAACGGATTAGACTTAGTAAAAAAGGGAGCAAGTCTAAAATTTACAAGGACAACTTCATACCTCTAGGCGGCCCAGTTGGAGTTTTAGAAGAAGTGGCCGGCTGTTTCTCAGCCGCCACCTGTTTCCTGGCAGAACCAGGAGAGCTCCAAACAGTCGTCTTCCGGGCCTTGGGGTCCGGCTGTTGGGAAGATGAAGCTCTTGGAGCACCCGTCTAAAACAGAAGAAAAAAGTCAGTATATGCATAAACACTCCAAAAAGAGGGTGAAAGGTTCGGAGCTCACCAAGGGTGCCCCCTTTTTGGGGGAGTCGGTTGAAGCTTGTTGCATAATAGAGGCCCGCAACATGGCCGCCGCAGTCTTGGAGGCGGTGATTTTGCTCATGGCGTCAGCTGCAAAAACAAACAGCAAAGTTAATAAAAGATAAACAACAAATGTATGGAACAACAGAGTATTCGACAGGCCGACTACCTCTTGAGCACCGACTGCTGAGGCCGCAGGCGGCCAAAAAGTACTCGTCATAGAGCCACTTGAAGCTCGGGACGCAGTGCAGGGGTACTTGCTCTCGTACCCCTGAAGTAGAGTCGACCCTCGACTCTACTTTAAAGAGTCCTTTATCAAGGATCTCTTTCTTAGCCTTGGGGGGAACAGGCGGCATGCTACGGCCGCCTGCAAGAAGGGGCAGATTCCTGTTCCACCTATTGAAGCGCTTGTTCAGCTCAATGTCTGAACTCTCAATGATGAGGAAGGTGCTCCGCCAGTCCTTCCACTTGTTTGATTTACCTCTTGTCATGAGGTAGCCCCTGTGGCTTGTCAATTGATACCAGCCGGTACCGCCTGTCTTAGGGGTCCGGCTGAGATAGTTCATATGGGCGAAAGCCTCGAAGCTCGGCTCCACCCCGTGCAGTTCGCATCTGGCCACATAGCCGAGTACGTTGACCCAGGAGTTTGGGGCTAACTGCCATAACCCCAACTCATACCCATCCAAAATCCGCTGAACAGCCGGATGTAATGGTAAGCGAAGCCCTTCCTTGATGGCCGCCTCGTAGCAGCCAAAGCAGGCGCTATCATAACTGGAACCAGCCGGCCAGGCGACTGTGTCTTCTGGATCCGGCACAAACACTAGAAAATCGGGGCCCATGGTGTGGTTTGCAATAAAGCTCTCCACTTTCTCTTGCATGGCTGTGATTCGGGCCCGAGGTACCGTGCAGTAGTAGGGGGTATTTAGCTCTCGGTAAGAGGCGGATGGTTCCGCCCAATTGTCCCCCTTCTCAACTGCGTGAGAAAGTCTCGCCTCTTGCAGGCGGCTGTTTTTCTCTTCTGTACCCAAAGAAGCATGGCCAGAAGAGCTTGACTCGGAATCGTCCTCCGACGAGTCCGAAGAGGACGACTCCTCCCCTCTCCCGGAGGGGCCCGCCTCATCTCTTTGAAAAGGAGCAGATTTGTTAACTGTTAAATGGGAAGGGGTCACTATGACTCCCCCCACAGAATTGCCGGCATCCAGGCCGCCTTGTTTCACTTCCACATCTGGCGCCTGGTCAGATGTTTCACTAAGCGGCACCCTGTGGGAGGAGCCGTCTGAATTTGTGATCCTAGCTGTCTTTTTCGTTCTGGCCATCCTGCTCTGCATAGACACAGATACAGTTGGACTTTGTATAAAGGGCAAAGATGGGTCCGGAAAAGGGCAGGCGGCACTCCTAGTCCTAGATTCAGCCGTCCCCGGTGACCGGCTGATCACTAACCTAGGTCGTGTCGTGTGCTTCCGTGGTGCCATTTCAGAAAATAAAAAGAAAATTAAGAGTAAGAGAACTGAGTTACCTGAACGAGTGACGGTTGATGAAGTTTTGAAAATCCTGTGCAGTCGACTTGTCAGAACAGGCGGTAGGCAGAAAAGGTCCAAAATGTCAGAGCAAGTTCAGGGGTCCGAATGTTCTCAAAAAGTTCTCAAAGTGTGAAAATGACTCAAGACAACTCTCCCTTATATAGGCGAAGTGAGAAGGCGAAGGGTCACTTTCAGAATTCAAAATTTGGGCGGGAAAATCTCTCGTCCTTTCGCCGACTGACACCTGTAGCAGGCCGTCGCCTGTTACACTGCGACACCTGTCACAGGTAACACGTGACCAATCACGTGCCACCTGTGAGGGGCAAATGATTAGGGGATTTTTCTCCCACCAATCGGAATGCGCCACGTGGACCAATCAGGTCTTGCCAAGTGTCCCCCAGTTGGAACAGTCAGGGCTTCCCACGTGGCACACGCTTATTCGTCCACCTTGGACCTGTTATGTCAAGACATGTGGCATACTCCATGCCTAATGGAGAAACCGGCCACCCAGGCCCAACTTCCGAGGGAAGCCCAATCGGCCCTAGGTTTACCTAAACCTAGAATGGGCACGTTTTCCAAGGTTATAAATACCTCCCTTAATCCTCATTAAGAGGGAGAACAGAAACATTACGGAAAAAACACTTTAATTACACACAGTAATAACCGGCTGATCTCGCTAACAAAGCAGATTACCTACATTAAACACTCTCACCTAGAGAGACCAAATCACTTTAATTTCCGCATTAATTACTCCTTAATCAGGTACTAACTTGACCGTTGGAGGCGGAGCTCCCAGGAGTCTCCGTTATTTTGCAGGTACAGGCGTCCGGTTCCAGTCTCGGAATTGTAACTCTCCCGCAGGACATCAGAAAACCCCGAAACAACTTTCATTTGATTCAAAAAGTTTTGTTTGAATTTGTTTGACATTCATTTGATGCACATACGTTGTTTGAATGCATTTGACTTTCATTTGATTCATAAAACTATATTTGAATGTGTTTGACTTTCATTTGATTTAATTAGCATTGTTTGATTGTGTTTGACTTTCATTTGATTCAATTAGCTTTGTTGAATGCGTTTGACTTTCATTTGATTCAAAAAGCTTTGTTTGAATGTGTCTGACTTTCATTTGATTCAATTGGCTTTGTTTGAATGTGTTTCACATTCATTTGATTCAATTAGCTATGTAGAATGCATTTGACTTTCATTTGATTCAATTAGCATTGTTTGAATGTGTTTGACTTTCATTTGATTCAATTTGCTTTGTTGAATGCGTATGACTTCATTTGATTCAAAAAGTTTTGTTTGAATGTGTTTGACTTTCATTTTATTCAATTGGCTTTGTTTGAATGTGTTTGACTTTTATTTGATTCAATTAGCTTTGTAGAATGCATTAAACTTTAATTTGATTCAAATAGCCTTGTTTGAATGTGTTTGACTTTCGTTTGATTTAATTAGCATTGTTCGAATGTGTTTGAATTTCATTTTATTCAATTAGCTTTCTAGAATGCATTTCACTTTCATTTGATTCAAAAAGCTTTGTTTGAATGTGTTTGACTTTCATTTGATTCAATTAATTTATTTGAATGAATTTGACTTTCATTTGATTCAAAAAAGCTATGTTTGAATGGGTTTGACTTTCATTTGATTTAATTAGCATAATTTGAATGTGTTTGACTTTTAATTGATTCAATTAACTTTGTTGAATGAGTTTGACTTTCATTTGATTCAAAAAGCTTTGTTTGAATGTGTTTGACTTTCATTTGATTCAATTGGCTTTGTTTGAATGTGTTTGACTTTCATTTTGATTCAATAAGCTATGTAGAATGCATTTGACTTTCATTTGATTCAAATAGCGTTGTTTGAATGTGTTTGACTTTCATTTGATTCTATTAGTGTTGTTGAAAGCATTTGAGTTTAATTTGATTAAAAAAAGCTTTGTTTGAATGTTTTTAACTTTAATTTGATTCAATTAGCTTTGTTCGAATGTTTTTTACTTTCATTTGATTCTTTTTTTTTTTTTTTTGGTAAGTGAGAATTTTATTACCAAAACAAATAAGAGGGCAAGCCCTCACTCCCAAAATTACAACAGCCAAAAAGGCATAACAAACACCACAAAAAAGACTAGACCTAATGCTCAATTGGGCCTAGTAGAACTAATTCTAAATAGCAATTTACAATGTTTCCTAGTCCATTTACAAGAAATAAGTTGTATAACCCTATCTTTAGTTTCCGTACAAATTCCTTTAAAAAGAGTATTAGGATGTACAACAGCCTTATGCCAAAAAACATGAATCCGAGCAAACCACAAATGATACACCACCGAGGTCAAAGCAGCAAGACCTACTTTCCTCTGAACATGATCTGTGAGCTTCCTTCTCCAATGTATCCAAGTTGCCTCAATATTATAGTGAGCCTCAGTAATACCCAACAATCTAGCAATTTTAGTCATACATTTTCTGTTATAAGTACAGTAAAAAAGCAGGTGATCCCTGGATTCAATAGCAGTACCACAGAGAAGACAACTACTGTCTTCACATACACCAAACTTCTCAAGCTTAGCTCTTGTCTTCAATCTATTATGAATGGCAAGCCAAGAAATAAAAGCATGCTTGGGGGAGGTATACCTATTCCAGATCCAAGCAGCCCATTCAACTTTAGGGAGATCCCCCTGCAACCACTTATATGTCTCAGAAATTTTATAAGACTGTTGCAGCCACCCCTTCTCCTCAAAACCAAGCCTTAAATCATCTCTGATCTTGCACAGCTTCTTCCAAGCCCATCCTGCACTCTTCTTAGGTTGATAAGTCCACCAGTCCTGATGTTTCAAGTACACTGAGTGCACCCACTTCACCCATAATGATTCTTTCTTGTGAGCAATCCGCCACATGTACTTTCCCAAAGCTACTTTGTTCCAAATCCCGCAATTTCTCACTCCTAGTCCCCCAGCAGCCTTTGGAGAACATACCTAGTCCCAAGAAAGGCACGACATAGTTGAGTGATTCTGGTGATGATAGAAGTAGGCAGTAGAAAGCATTGAGCCCAGTATATGTGCATGCTCATCAGCACGGAGTTGATCAAAACAATTCTTGCAGCATAGGACAAGTTTCTACTCGACCAGCAGGTAATCCTTGCCATCATTTAGTCTATCAAGCCATCATAATCAGAAGTCTTAAGATACTTTGTGTTGAGAGGAATACCCAAGTATCGAAAAGGAAAAGAGCCAACACTAAAACCAGTCCTAGCCAGTACTTGATTCATAACATCAGAGGGAGTGTTGCCAAAATAAATGGTTGTTTTAGTCGGATTAACTTGCAGTCCACAACACTTGCCAAAAGTCTTTAGAGCTTTGTGTAACAGTTCAATGCAGTGCTTATTACCATGTGAGAAGAACATCAAGTCATCCGCAAAAATAAGATGATTAAGTCTCTACTCCTTACATCTTGAGTGGAACTTAAAGAGCCTGTGTTAACCAATTTTCTTCATAAGTCTTGAAAAGTACTCCATAACCAGAACAAAGAGTAAAGGTGACATGGGATCCCCCTGTCTCACAACCCTAGCACCCTTAAAGTAACCATACGACCCCCCATTTATCATTAGAGAGTAACAAGGGGAGCTGATACACTCCATTACGCAGTCCCTGAACTGTCTAGGAAAACCCAGGGCCACCAGCATGTCTCGGATAAAGGACCCACTCACAGAGTCATAGGCTTTTTTCAAATCCACTTTGACTGTACATCTAGTAGCCTTCCTTTTTTTTTTTTTTTTTTAGTAAGTAAGTAATTTTATTACCAAATAGAGAAAACATCTTACAATAGAAGTACATCTCCTAAACACACAGCCTTACAAGGCAAACAATCACAAAAAAAAAGCAACCCTACCCCACTTGAAGCCACCTTCACGGAAGGGTGTCTCAAGAAGGGAAGGGGCCCAATCTGGACTCAGGAAGAGAGTCACCTTCTAGGAAGGGTACTCTCCACCAGGACCAGAACAAACAAGCACAACTACAACACCAGAGGGCAAGCCCTCTCACCAAACTATACAACCCCCTCAATGTGTACGAGCACTAAGGCTAAAGAGCCATTTACAATGCTTCCTAGTCCATTTACAAGTGATGGGATGTCTACATCTATCAACAGTTTCTATACATATCCCTTTTGCATAAAATTCTTGGATGAAAAACAGCTTTCTGCCAAAATTTATGGTTCCTAGTAAACAATAGGTGGTACACAACAGAGGTCAAAGCAGCTAGTCCAACTTTCTTGCAAATGGGGTCTTTCAACTGCCTGCTCCACTGCTTCCAAACCTCATCTATGCTGTAATAGGTATCCCTGATCCCCAGCCAAGCTGCAATCTTATCAATACACCTCCTACTATAAGGACAGTCAAAGAACAAATGGTTTCTGTTCTCAGTAGCACTTCCACACAGCAAGCACCTGTTGTCAACACAAATGCCAAACCTCTCAAGTTTATCTCTTGTTTTGAGCCTATCATGGACTACAAGCCAAGAGCTGAAAGCATGCTTGCAAGAATTGAACTTATTCCAAATCCAGGTATTCCAATCAACTCTTGGGCTAGAACCTTGCAACCAGTCATAAACTTCAGAAATGCTATAAGGATTCTGTAACCAAACCTTCTCCACAAAACCACAATGCAGCTCATCCTTAATCTTGCAAAGCTTTTTCCAAGCCCAACCTGCAGTAGCTTTAGGCTTATAAGTCCACTAATTCTGGTCCTTCAAATAGACTGAGTGAACCCACCTAACCCACAAGGAATCTTCCTTTTTTTGCAATCTTCTAGACGTACTTCCCCAGAGCTGCCTTGTTCCAAAGACTACAGTTTTTGATACCAAGACCACCCACCTCTTTGGGTTTACAAACCCAGTCCCAAGAAATAGGAGGGCTTCTAGACAGATTAGTATTGCCACCCCATAAGAAAGCCCTACAAAGTTGAGTGATTTTAGCCATCACAGAAGCAGGCAACAACAGACATTGGCCCCAATAAACATGCATACTCAGGAGCACAACATTGATCAGCAGAACTCTTGCAGCATAGGATAAACTCCTACTTGACAAACATGTGATCTTTACAAGCATCTTATTAATCAAACCATCATAATCAACATATTTCAAGTATTTGGAATTCAAAGGAATACCTAAATACCTGAAAGGGAAAGCACCTTCACTAAAACCAGTATGACTCAAAACCTAATCCTTGAAGCTAGCAGGAGTATTACCAAAATACACTACAGTCTTGGCTTGATTTGCTTGAAGACTAGAACACTTACTAAAAGTCCTCAAAGCCTTGTGCAACAAAGAAACAAAATTAACATCACCATAGGAGAACAACATTAAGTCATCTGCAAAGATTAGATGGTTAAGACCAAGTCCCTTGCATCTAGAGTGAAATCTAAAGTTCCTAAGTTTCCCAATTTTCTTCATTAGCCTAGAAAAATATTCCGTGGCCAGCACAAAAATCAAAGGGGACATAGGGTCCCCTTGCCTAATGCCTCTAGCACCTTTGAAGAAACCATACATCCCACCATTAATAATCAAAGAATAGGAAGGAGAACAGATACAGGCCATAATCCAATCACAGAATTGCAGGGGAAAACCAAGAGCCTGCAGCATGTCTTTGATAAACTCCTAACTTACAGAGTCATAAGCCTTCAGCAAATCTACCTTCACTGTGCATCTAGGAGGCTTGCTTTTGTTATTGTAGTCCTTAAGAATATCCTGGTATAAAAGGATGTTGTCCAATATGGACCTTCCAGCCACAAAGGCTCCCTGAACCTCAGAAACAAGATCAGGCAAGACCTCCTTGATCCTACTGCAAATCATCTTAGAGATGATTTTAAAAATCACATTGCAGCAAGAAATCGGTCTGAACTGCCCTACCTTAGAAGCATTCTCCATCTTAGGAATCAGAGTAATAGCAGTGATGTTAACCTGCTTCAAAAGCTTCCCATGCTTGAAAAAGTCAAGCACAGCCTTGCAAACATCATTTCTCACAATATCCCAGGTTTTCTTATAGAAATGACTTGAAAAGACATCTGGACCAGGGGCCTTGTTATCATCAATGTCCCACAAAGCTTTCTTCACATCTGTCTCCAAAAAAGGTCTACACAGCCCCCTACTTTTATCAACAGAGATCACAGGCCCCTCATCAATAACAGATTGATGAAACTCTGAACTTGAATAGCATTGCCAAGCAAACCTTTATAAAACTCCAAAAAAGACTCAGCAATCTCTTCATGACTAAGAACCACCATTCCATTTTCATTTTGGATACTCCATATCCTATTCTGTAATCTTCTTCTCTTTATACTAGCATGAAAATGAGTTGAGTTGATATCACCATATTTGAGCTAATGGAGCTTAGCTTTCTGTTTGAGGAAATTGATTTGAACCCAGATTACACCAAGCTGAGCCAAGATTCGAACCCAGATTACACCCCGATCCTGAAGACCCAAAAAACAGGGTAATCAAGATTAGGGGTTTTAGGCGAACTCACATCATCAAGATTATCACATATCATCATCAATGGAGTAGAATTAACTACATTATCATTCAAGAACTCATCACATTAATCTATATTATCCCCCTCCACTGGATTTTGACCAAACCCATTACCCCCTTTTTTCCAGAAATTGGGGAAGCCGAGTTTCGATGAATTACTTCAAGCCCTTGGTTTAGCTAATGTCTATGGATTACTAGATCATCATTATTGACATCCTTAACAGAAATTCCCTCCATAGCAACATCATCCAGCCAGCTAACAATAGAGTCATCATCCTGCTTTCCATCATCAGCCCGCTTCTGAATAACCTCCTTCTTCTTTTGCTTGGCCTTCTTCTTAGATTTAGAGGAAGAATTCCTCTTCCCCTTGCCCTTTTTCGCTTTAGCCATGGTAGAAAACCGCAAGAACACGCAAAATGGCAAGTTCTAGCTTTCTAGAGAGAGAAAGCTCGGGGATCATCTTCTTAGCGTTTCCTTTATCAACCTTCCTTTTATTATTATAATCCTTAAGTATGTCCTGACAAAGAAGAATATTATCAAGAATAGACCTACCAGTCAAGAAACCTCCTTGCTCCTCAGAAATGAGCCCGGGCAAGACTTCATTTAGTCTAGAGCATATCATCTTAGAAATTATTTTGTAAATCACATTGCAACAAGGAATCGGTCTAAATTGCCATACTTTAGAATAGGGCTGGCAAACAGGTCGGGTCGGGTCGGGTTCAGGTTGACCTGTTTACATAAACAGGTCAGGACCCCCCAACCTGAACCCGACCTGTTTACTTAAACAGGTCAGAAAATTTAACCCGAACCCGACCTGGTTTTAAGCGGGTTGACCTGAACCCGACCCGTCTTAACCTGTTTTTTTATTTTAAAAAATATTGATTAACCTTGTTATTTTTTTTTAACCTGTAATCTTTTTAACTAATCTTGTAATTTTTAAAAATAAAAATATAATTATTTTTCAAAAATTAACCTGAAATATTGAACAACATAAAAAAATGTAAAATGCAAATTCAAAGCCACTTGCTGCATAGTTTATAGTACAATTATACAACACTAAAAAGTTCCAAGAGTTCAAAAATACATATAACAGAAATTCAATATTTGCCAATTAGTAACTTCATCATCTGATTCTTCATAACCAGCAAGTTCAACGGGTAAAGGAGGAAGAGGACAATCAAGTATCAACCATCTATTAATTAAGAATAAATTAGTTAATTAGATAAATAATTAGGCTAACTTTATCAAAATACTAAATGCCAAATGCAGACTTAGCACAAACTCACTTATCTCACTCATAAACTCATAAAAAAACAGTTGTAAAAACAAGTAATCTCACTCATAATCAGATGGTGAAAAAACCGCATGCACA